AGAGAGAGAGAGAAAGAGAGAGAGGATAGGTGGCAAGGTAATGGAACTTAGAGAGAAAACCGTTAAGAGACAAACTTAGGTCCCGAGGGAGAAATTCTGGCGTGAACGCTCTGTTTCCCATGTATCTGTAGCTTCCGTATCGACCTGGGCACCTCATCAAAGATGGAACTGACAGACCAAGATGGCAACCGATTACACTGCCGTTTCGGCCAGATTTTTCTTGGCTTTATAACTAATTAATGGGCATTGCACAGTCAATTGCACTTAGGCTAACCGTCTACGGGGTCTGGCACACTTTTCTTCGGCCGCTGTCATTGCCTTATTTTTGTTTTGCGTTTTGTTTTGACATACTTTGCTAGATGCTGTTTCGTTCACTGTTGCTCCCTTTTGAGTAGACAACAACAACGACAACGACAACACCGTCAAGGACAAAGACAACGACAACGACAACGACAACGACAACGACAACACCGACAACGACAACGACAACGACAGCAATGATAACAACAGCAACAGCAAGAATAGAAACACCAACTCCTTGTCACCAATACTAAAAGCAGGTCACTAGCACTATAAGTGCTAGTAGCTTATATGATCTTATTAATCTGTTGACACGGCACTAGACCGTGCTTCAGATTTCATATTATTTACTTATTTTTTTAACTTCAGATTTCATATTATGTCTTGACAATCTTTTTATCGCCGCACAAGCCGATACCACACACCTCACGTATTCTCTATTTTCATTCAATACAGTCTCTCGTAGTCATATTATTCTTTATATTGTATTCATCCGCTATTATTTTATTTTCTCGGAAATAGTCTTAGAATTCTGTTGGCAGCCTTTTTAAAATGGGTATTTAGCCAAGACAAGATGTCCGGTTAAACAAGGACTTAATAGTACTAATACCTCGTCAACGTTTGACTCTAAGACTTGAGTTGTGCTATATTTTAGTCTGTCTACGTAATGTAGAGAGTGCCCTCTATCAACAGGTACATATATACCATAGTAGATAAGCCAAGTCCTCAGACCATATCACGTAGAGGCCCACAATTTCCAAAAGCCGATTTCCTTTTGAAAAAAAAAAAGTTAATAAGTTTGCACTGGTCAATCCGACGTCTTGAACCGGTTACATCCTGCAGATCCGGTTAGTCGAATAAAGCGTCAAGCTTTTAAAGACTGGGTAGATGTCCCATTAACGGGCTGCTCGTTTGCACTGTCCAACGTGACTTCTCTAACCATTTACATTATGCAAATCCGATTAATCGAATAAGAGTGCAGAAGCTTTTAATTAACCCTTTCACTACTCAATCCTATCACAGAGCACGAGGCATTATTGTGCATGGCAGCGAACAGTTTAAGACTGGGTATATGTCTCATTAACGGACTGCTGGTCTAGAAAACGACGGGTTCTGGAAGATTAGGAGACGGCGGGTGCTCTCAGATGATAAAATCTGATCAATTTTGTATGATGAGCAAGTCGGTCGACCAGATGTAAGGGAGAACTGCGGGACAGGAGCGCGCCTAGTTCTCTGTGTGTCCTGCACGCTTGTCCTGCCGCCAGTACTCATATGCCACACGCTGGGAATAGGATAGACTATGTTTGTCCTGTCTGTCTGTCTGTCTGTCTGTCTGTCTGTCTGTCTGTCTGTCTGTCTGTCTG